CAAATTTCCATTTTCGACAGACGCGCTAACCCCATGATCGTCGCCACGAGAGCTGCTCAGCAACCTGGCCTCCTCGTTTGAAAACATTCCATCAGGGGGGAGGAGCTGGACTGGAATGAGGGGGCTTTCAAAGCAACACGATAAAACACACGATATAAATGTTTAATACTTGTTTATTGTCGAATACAGCATGATAAAGTAATAATTTCTATTTATATCGTGTGTTGCTTTGAAAGCCCCCTCATTCCAGTCCAGCTCCTCTCCCCCCCTGATGGAATGTTTTCAAACGAGGAGGCCAGGTTGCTGAGCAGCTCTCGTGGCGACGATCATGGGGTTAGCGCGTCTGTCGAAAATGGAAATTTGGACTTTTGACAAACAAAGTTCGTCGTGTGTCGCGGGAATTGCCGCAATGGTGAAGAAACCAAGTTCTTTCGAAAGAGGAACGTTCGTGCTATTAGACGATGTGAAATTTATTGCTCTGCGACGATTCTGAGGCGAGATATTGGACTCGATGTCGGAGAGTATGTCAGATAAGTGGCTAGCCTTGTAGTTATTTCACAGGCGGCCCAATCTCGCAAGGGTCAGTATAGACTTTATATAGTATGAATGTATATTATATTAATGTATATTATAGTAAAAATATGTCGTAAAATATAAATTTTAAAATGAAATTGACTTGCCTATTTGATAGTGTGTGTTCTCCTTTTATTCCTCCTTTGTTGGATTAATATTTTCCAAGACTTTGTACTCGATGTTACTAGTATACATGAAACATGATAAAGGCTAACGATTCCCGATCGTCGATACGACGGCACAGCACTTCGAATCGAAAATTTTCACACTCAAATCGCTTTATTCTCCAAACAAATTCGCCAGCATGTACAACAAATGCCGTTCTTCGAAAATACAGAGGTACTTCGGCGAGATGTACAAGTTTTGGACCATATTTTAACAATGGAAATCAAAACCCATTTTATGTTTCATGTATACTAGTAACATCGAGTACAAAGTCTTGGAAAATATTAGTCCAACAAAGGAGGAATAAAAGGAGAACACACACTATCAAATAGGCAAGTCAATTTCATTTTAAAATTTATATTTTACGACATATTTTTACTATAATATACATTAATATAATATACATTCATACTATATAAAGTCTATACTGACCCTTGCGAGATTGGGCCGCCTGTGGTTATTTATGTCCTATACGGCCATGTCGTCCAGTGCCATAGTACTGATGACCGTTCAAGTACGTCGAAAACGTAAAGCAATCGCATCAACTAGACTCAGAAACACGACAAATGGATTCTATTAACAAGTGAGATATATTTTTTACATATATTGTTAATATTTTTTGAACTGATTATTTTGTTATTTTAAAATATAATAACGGTTAAATATTCAAAATATATAGGACGTTCAGAGATTGGGCAGCTTGTGCCCTGTATATTGAATTGTGTAATATGGGTGAAACTGCAAATATGTTTGTTGTAAAATACGCTCAAAAATACTGCTTCACCAAGTAACTGTTATAAGGAAAAAATCAAGTGAAAAACATCATGGGAAAAACGAACAAAACTAACCTTATAACAACTAACTTGCGTTAGGTTTCACTCAAAATTCAACTGGATCAAACTGACATATTAAACCCAACAATGGCAACATCGTCAATGTATATTAATATACATGTTTATGTTTTCACATGATATACTTCACAGTTTTCCGTTCGTAGTTTTATTCTTTCGGCTTATTTTACCGAATTTTTGTTCATTTTTTGTTTCATAGCAACTTTGGCAGACCTCTATTAACTTTTCCCGTCAGAATGTTGAAAATTCTATGAAATACCGGAATGGCGGATTGTTGCTAGGCAACTAGATTGCCGTTCGGTTATAATAAGAATATACTTTTTAATCAGGTCGTCATTGCAAGCATTATTATTAAATAATTTAAATTCCCTGTTGTTGATGGCTATAAATATTATTTTTCTGTTATAGTGTTGTTTTATAAAGGAATAGGGGAATTGGGACTCGAAACACTAGTTCTTTGTGTTCGTTTCCCCACTGATCAATTTCTGCTTTCTCCCAGACTTCCACACGTATTTCTATAAAATTAACGAGGATCCCACCTGATATTATTTCATACTAAATTTCATTTTGCATTTATATGGAAACCGAGCTGGTCCGCCAGCTAATATACTATTTTTAATATAACGAGGAGACCAGTGGTTTGTTTTAGCGAGCTAGCCCCGCCTCAAACGTCTCATGTAAACACGGGATGAAAATTGAAATCAGCTCGGCAAAGTGAGCAAGCTTGGGTACTTTTGGTACCCGGGCTGGGTCGCCTTCATATAAAATCCCCCTTTTCCCCACATAGATCTGTGCTGAGGATCCGGTAAGGGACAGACCATTATTTTGTAGAGGGGGCGATGGGAAATCCTTAAAACATTCGTGCTCAATCAAGAGTTATTCGGAGCACGCGGGACGTTGGTCGAGGCGCTAACCGAGACCATCGCTATAAAACACGTGAAACGGGGCAGGGCGCTGTAAAAAAGTATTTTAAAGTCGGGTAACTTTTTTAGTGCCCCTTATTCGTAATGCTCATATAGAGATGCAAAGCAAGAATATGGAGTAGCAGTTTGTTGTACTTGAACGGAAATGAAGGGGCGTGTTCGTTATTAGACAGCTATAAATTCTAGATTAGGCGAGAGAACGCTCACTTATTAAGACGGTACCTGTGTGGGTCGGTCTCAATCTCGTTCCCCGAGACTGCGATCCTCGGGAAGGAACGAGAGGCTCTGGGATAACCCGTTGCCGGAAGCCAGGAATCCTGGCTAAGATTGAACTACGCATTCCATTTCAACGGCCAATCAGATTCCTCCCTGAAACGGATTATCCCAGAGTCTCGCGTTCCTTCCCGAGGATCGCAGGCTCGGGGAACGAGATTGGGTCGGTCTCAGTGGCGTAACTACTATGGGCTCGGACCAGGAGAACCCGGCCCTGGCCCCCATGCAACCCCAATGGGCTAAATGGGGCCCCCTCAGCTTATAGAGCAAAAACATTGGCCAGGGCCTCTGATGTGTTACAATGTCGTTTTCTGACCTCAAAATTCTGTAAAATCTCTCCCCAAAGTCCGGGAAATGGCATTTCAGAGACACTAGATTCAAACATTTTCCGGGTGAGCATGCCCTGGACCCACTAAAAAACTCGTGCATATATGGCGCTCGACTCGTGCCTTTGGCACTTCTACTAGAGGGTTGGGGGGGAGCCTTCGAAAAGTTTGAACCGGGGGTCCCCTGATATAACGTTACGCCACTGGTCGGTTTCCGCCGCACTCTCAACATTCGATCAACATCGTCTTAACATTCGATCCATTCCTTATTCAAGCTGAGCAGCAAGAAGTAGAGTATTATGAAATAGGTTACTATGTTTTTCCTCCTGCACACCTATGTGTGATACAGTTTATAATCGGGTTTTCACACATGAGTGATATCCGACCATACCGAACCAATATCATGGCTGCCAAATGTCAATGTTTTTGGGTTTAATCATATTATAATGAAACCGCAGTAATTAGCTAAACAAAAATTTGTAAGCAGGAATTAAGAAGCACTGAAGCAGCTACAAAAAGTTTGCAAACACAACAAACACAACATGAAAATTGCTTGTGTTGAAGAAATGATCCTCCCCGCCTCTTCCAAAAATACAATGGTCCGTCTCAAAAGGCCATCCCTACTATTTAAATTAACCCAGTGTTATTATTCAGAACAGGCACATACGACAGAGTCATAACTGGCACATGCGAACCGGACGCCAGTCAGATGAAATCCACTGCAATATACCACTGTTCAACAATCAGCAAGGGTCGATTGACTAAAATTTTTGTAGTTCGCCATAACTACAGCTACTTCAAAAATATGTAGTCAGCTACAACTACTGCTACTTTTGAACAAAGGTAGTTCGCTACTGACTACAGCTACTGGCTTAAAAATTTCGCCGCTACGCTATATTTTTTTAATTTTACTGTATTTGGAGCATCTACTAACTCAGGCTGAATTGTAATTTGTAACCTATAACAAATCGACTTACGAGTAGCAACAGTAAACACAAAGCAACATTTTTGTAACCACTACAGTTTTCAAGAGTGCAAATTGACTATTGAGTATTAATTTTAAGCAAACCGTGTCTCAATATTATGCTATTCTATCAAGTTGCTAACAATTTTAAAAAGTATCGAATAGCGATTTGCTGTTTGAAAAGTAGTCAACTACTTGGCTTCTTTAAGCAAAATTTAGTTCGCTATAACTGCTACTGTTTTAAAAAAGTAGTCAAAAACTACTAGCTACTTGACTATTGTAGTTCGAAAAAGTTCGCTATACAGTAGCGAACTACAACTACTTCACTACTACCCACCCTTGACAATCAGTTGTATTTTTGCTTTGACCATGAATTAATTGGCAGAAAAAAATAAAAAGCAACACGTGCGTATCCGAAACAATTTAATTGGTGGCAGCGATGGCTATGCCTGCTGAACCACCTGTTGCTGTCAAAAACGCTTGACTGGTTTTATAATATATTAAGTCAATTGAAGTCGCTTTACTCTAGAATAAATAAAGCGTTGTTGAATGAGAAGGCAAGTTCTTGTTGTTGTATGCAAGAATACATTTTACTTTAAAGGCTGTGTTTACTAAAAGCTAGTCAACGAAAGGACAATGGGTTAACATGGCCTTGGTTCACTGAAAGTGTTTGACTAATTGAAATGACGTTGTTTACGGCAAATAAACTATGGACGTTTTTTCTTGCTTTTACTTGCATTCGAGATGTTATAACAGTTGTTGTGCTGGATGAAAGTGCTAACGAAATACCACTATGGCGTGAGAGTTCATCATACAGAGACAGATCACAAATCCCAAAGCCTTCAGAAAACGATAGGAGCAAACTAAGTCAAGTGAGACATAATTTTTATCCCATTCAAACACCGCGTAGCACAAAGAAGTGGAAAATTGGGAGGATTTTTTATACATTGCCAATTGGGGCGACATTTCCCATTTTCTATACATCAAAGAGAGGTGCTAAGAAGGGAAAGAAAAGTGAAATATATTTTCCAGGGAATTGGATATGGAAGCAGGGACGGGTTGTCAAGGCGACAGTTGCCGATGGCGACAACAGATTTCGAGACGACTTGTCAGCAAAATATTTTCATCAAAGAAGATATAAATAATTAATTGTTTTGTATCAGTTTGGTGTGTTGAATTCTAAGTAATAATAAAATGAATTTAGTGCTTGTAATTCTTTACGATAGGTCATTTGCACGCTATATATATATAACGTTATGGTCATGTTAGTGGTGTTTCAATTCGAATTAGGCACAAACATGGCCGCCGCTTTACTGTGTTTTAATTTATAAGTGATTGATTGACCTCATATAGAGGGCCCTGCACGGTCCATGTCTATATATCAGTCTATGCGCAACTGAGTTAGATATGTTTGAACTCCTCCTGCTGATCAGTGTTAAAATTGCTTAGAAAAAGGTTCTGGCCTCTTGAGTTGTGGATAACGTTGGACTAAACCAAAATTCTGTTTAAAATATCCTGTAGAACTAAAAAAGCATTGAGTTGTGACCAAAATATTATACAAGGCGATGTTGTAAGACAAATATTTATACTTGCAATATTTGACATAGCTGAAAATTATCTCGTCTGCGTTTGTGTCCATTACTCATTAGTTACACCCACGCATGTATTTCTGCTCAGGTGGGCGAATTTTATGCCTGTTCAGCAAATTTCATGAAATCAATATGTCATCGTTATGCGGAAAATTTTGGCCTGCTAAAATTGTTAATTGCATGAATGCAATCCTAAAATTCTCTTCATGAGTCATGACACGAAAAAGTGCTCACTCATGGGTTCAATTACTATGACAAAAGGCCAATTTAAAGTAATACTATTTTCATCTTTCATTCATCATCATGTCACTGCATTGGCGTTTTGCCGGTCATTCACAGAATTTCTAATCCATTGGCATTGCCATTATTATAGTCTCGGCTTCATTCTTTAAATCTTTTTAATTTTATTGCCTATTTTACGAAGTGATTAATAAAAGCTTCTGTCAATTTTGAAAAAAAAAATGAAATCTTCTATATTTCGTTTTAATTTGAAAGACATCATCGCAGGTCGAAAATGGTTCATCTAATATCCGGCTATGAAATTTACCATGCCCCATGTCGGATTAGTCGCATAGCTTGAGTTCAGTATAAAAAATAATAATAAAAGCATTTATTTTAACACGATAATTTTACAGCATAGCTAATGTGGTCGTGTAACTAACTAAGTAACAAATTCCACGAAAACATGAATATAGAGTAACTGTTTACTAAAGCATAATTGTTCACATAAAAACACATAACAAACAATCACATTATTTGACACTTGCATGACCCAAACTATTATACACACATCTATTACAGTTCAAGGCTCAGTCCGTTCCATGAGGGGGGGGGGGGGGTGTATTCCCATTTCCCAGCCCAAATTTTGACTAAATCCCATTGTCCCAGAGCACAAATCCTATCATCTCAGTGGCTGTCCTGCTCAAATATTAATCCCATTCCCATTTTCTATTGTTTTTTTTGCTGATGAATCCCAGTCCCAGTGCATGAAATCCCATTTTCCCACCCAAAAATATGCAAATTCCAGTTCCCATTTTACCCCTTCAGGACCCTCTTCCATAGACTAACAGCTTGAAAGGAGATTGATTTCTTAAGAAAGTCCGTGTTCGATTTAGGTAGCGGTGAACATTTTTCGAAAAGATTGACTGCAAAGTTGGAGGAGATAATTCATGATAGCATTTGTACGCTAGGTATACAAGTTGTCGTTTGTGCATATCATTGAGGGTGAACCATTTAGCTTTGTTGATGACGTCTTTCCCAGGGGTGTTCCAATCGAAACCAAAGATGATCTTTGCTGCGCAAACATGTATCTTTTCCAATTCATCAAACAAAGTTTCCCGCAAGATCCCCATATCAAGATTCCGTACGTTATAGAAGGTAAAACAACTTTGAAGTACAAGTCCAGTTTTGTGTTAATCGGTAAGAAATATAATGATTTAAGGAGATTTAGTTTTTTGCCAATTAAAGATGAAACATGGATGTTCCATTTCAAATGACAATCTATTTCTAGACCTAAGCATCTTGTTGACTCGACACGTTTTATCTGACTTTCACCTAACTACTTTAAGCACTGAAGAGGACCAATAAATCTTCTTCGACTCATGATCCTATACTCAGTTTTATCAGGATGAGGTGTTAATTGATTGTGGCAACACCAGAGATACAGTTTACTCAAACTATTTTGTTGAGAATTTCTGCAACAAGATCTTGTGTTGGTGCAAAGGCATAGAGCGTGGTATCATCTGCATACATATAAATATCTCCATCATCCGAAATATTAATATCTGGTAGGTCGTTACACAACAAGGAAAACAGAATTGGACCAAGAACAGATCCTTGCGGAACACCAAACTTTACTGCGGGCATCGACTCCGACATACAACCATTAATTACTGTAACCTGATGACGGTTGGAAAGATAGTTTTTAACCCAACACCACAGATCACCCGATATACCGAGCTCTTGTAACTTTCTAAGGAGGACTGGGTGGGAGATAGAATCAAATACCTTCCGAAAATCTACAAATACAATACCAACTACTAAATTGTTATCCAATGCTCGTCTCCAATTCTCCGTCATCTTGACTAAGAGTAACTCAGTTGAATGTCCTTTCTTATATGCCCATTGGTGGTTATGCATGGCTAAGGTCATGTTCTGTTAAGTGTGTTGTAATGGTGCATGGAAGCTACATAGGTCTCCATGAGTTTACCTGGAACACATAGTAGGAATATAGGTCTGTCGTTGCTCTTGTCAGTCTCGTCGTCCTTCTTATACAATGACGAGACATTAGCTAGCTCTTTCCCACTGATCAGGAACACTGTTGCGTGACACACTTGATGTGAACAGGGAAAGTAATGATGGAATGACTGTGTGACCAGCTTTCTTTAATAACTTTGGTGCAACTTTATCAGGACCGCATGCTTTATCCGCTTTCACCTTGGTTAATGCTGTTGACACATTTTCGCATGTTAAGTTAATGTCCATTACTGTGGGCGTAACACGGTTGATGGTGCTGATGGAGGTATTCTGATCGGTTGTGGGTAGATTGTTTGCAAGTTTTTCACCTATCGTTGAGAAATGTTGGTTGAAAATTGCCGCCTTAGCTTGATCTGATGTAACAATCTTTCCATCTTTTCCTTTAATACCGAGTATTGGTTTCGTTGACACGTTGTTGGTAGCATTCAGTTTTCAACAGCTTCCAGTAGGTTTTACAGCTTTTAACTTCGTTGAAAAGGTCCGTGTAATACATAGTTTTGGAAACCCGTACTTCGTGCGTTATACTGTTTCTCAACTTACGGTATTCAGCGAATAACTCCTGGCTTTGCAATTTCTTCGCTTTCAAGAATGTTTTGTATCTGAGGTTCATTATATGCCTAATTTGTGGAGTGATCCATGGCAAGGAGTTCTGTTCAATCTTGACTTGTCTGTATGGAGCGTGTTTATTGCAAATGTTGTTGAAAAGATGACCCTACGTCCAGTAGACATCCTCCATATCATCAAACACTGAACACACAGACCAAGGCGCTTTTTCAACATCTTTTGTAAATTCGTTTAATTTTAGGTGGTGTTCTTCTTAACTTGGTCTTCAGCGAAACATAAACTAGCATGTGATCAGATATTCCTAATTCCAGAGTTTTTGTTTCTTTAATTGTTTCAGGTTTGCTGGAAATAACATGATCAATTAAAGTTGAAGATGATGTTGTAACTCTAGTGGGTAATTGGTCGTTCATTATGGAGTAATTGAAATGTTCTAATGTTCTGAGCAGTTTTTTTACCAGGGATTGATGAGACATCATTGTTCACCGACCGAGAAATATCTGCATTTAGGTCACCAACAATTAACACATTCTTAAATTTGCTCCAGACTAGGTCTAACATGGTATAGAATTTGTTAAAGATATTGGAATCTGATAGTGGAGGTCTGTATACTTAGTTCCTAATACGATTGAAGTCGCATTAACCGTGATTTTTATCCATATTCCCTCAATGTTGCGTGTCTCTAGAGAGAGAGTTGAAACAAATATGATCTGCAACATACACAATACAACCTCCGCCGGGGCCAGTTTCTCTGTCTCTTCGAGCTAGTTTATAGTTCTCGATGTTCAATTGTTGATTTGCAATATTTTCATCAAGATATGTGATTCAGTTATTGACAGGACATCCAAACGGCATACTTTTAACAAGATCTCTATTTCATCTAGCTTGTTCCGAAGACTACGAACGTTGATGTGTTCATGTGCAATTCGTAGGTTAGAGGATGAGTTGTCTAATGAATTAACAAACTGTTCTAAATAATCCTTACGACTGTCAACGCCTTGAATAATAGGGCCAGGATTTAACTCAATGTCACCAGAGAGCAATAAAATTTGCCTGGTTGCAACGAAATTTGAATAGTATATGCCACCCGACTATTAGAAAACTTCCTCTTCATGAAATTACGGTCGAGTTTCATTTTAAAATTCTCGCAGTTCGTTTGATTATCACGAGTAGAGGTCCATAAATAATTCAAACATCCTGATGATGATATAGAGAAATCCGAGGAAATAGAGAAACTCTTGTGCCAAAAACTGATGGTATTATTTTCAAGTATACATGTGTCGATCTTGTTAATCGCCAAAAAGTTACTGTGATACAAAAGCACCAAAACGATGCTGCAATCGCCACGTTTGGGAAGAAGAATAAGAAGCTATATGGTGAATTGGCCCGGTTTGCCGGGGATATGGCCTGGTTCATATGAACAGGCCTTTGTTATTTATATTTATTTTTATTGGCTATCAGATATGGTGCCTTCAATCATTTATTTCAATTTGAGTTTAAGCTTTCACCATACACATTACCAAAAACAAAATGGAAGACAAAGAAGAAAGTTGAGGCAATCAAAATTCGTAAAAATAACGCGCAATGGCGAATAGCGCTCCGTCTTCAAAGATAACATGCGACTACTGCCTTGAACATGTATACTACCAAAATCATTTTCAATGTCAATGAGCTACATGATTTAGTATCCGTATTACTAACTACCAACGGCAATCTATGCGGCATAGACATGGTTTTGATTTCATTTTCTTTCAAAATTGACACTGAAGGTTTAATTAACTTCGTAAAAAGAGCCAATGAAATTAAAAATATTTAAATGAACAAAGTCAAGACTATAAACTATAATACTCAAATTTCTTGATACTCTCTGAAGATAATTTCTGAAGTAACTATAGGAGCAATAAAGGACGTCTCACTGAACTTCAGGGAAGACGGTTTAGATCTGAGTACACCCTAATATAAAAGCAAGCCTCAAGGGGTTTATTTTCATTGGGAATTTTGTTTTTATAGCGACAACACGGGTCATTACCAATATTACTGGTCGTTATGACTCGTGCTAAGCAATAATATAAACTGTTAGTCTTATATAAGATAATGGTGAATTCAGAAAATATATATATTTTACTTTTTTACCCAAATAATTTTGTCCAATTAAACCCATTGTTAAGATGTAATTACAGAAATATAACTAAATATTATTGCAAATGACAATATATGCATGACTTAAATTAAACATAATTGTTTCAGTTAAAAATACTTGCTAACAGCTATATAAGGATATACATGTATAAAAATATAGAATAAGGATATCAGGATATATGCTTATTTATTAATAAATGTTTTATACTGTATAACGATTTTATCAGTTTTATTTATAACTAAACTGTTTTTCCAAGAGATACTGCAGTAACATCAATTAGTCGAGCAGGAAATCTCATATTTGACATAAAGTAGGATCACGCGATAGACAGAAGTATGGAGAATTTTCCATCACTCATCAGATTGATAAAAAGAAATACCGAAAATATAAACAAATATATATATATATATATATATATATATATATATATACAGCCTGTTTTTGCTGCGATTTATTTTAGGTGCAGACGAAGATTGCAGTAGAAATTATAGCAATTTAAAAATGCATGTAAACGAATCTTAATTAAGGCAACCATGCAGAACAAAACTTTAAGCTAAAAACCGAAGCTGAAATTTAAAATGAAACTTGAAACTTAATCGTTATACTGTATATAATTTCGTCTTCGTACAATTTTACACACAAGAAAACTACATGAAAGATAACCAAGAATTACTTTATACTGACGCGATAAACATTCTAGTTTAAATTTAAAGCAATCTTGACAAAGAAAATAACTAATTGAAATAAATTAACTGAAAGCCCGAATACTGAAACTTGAAAGTGAACTTTGCCAGAAGTGCGATTTCTTTGTACACAGGAAATATTAAATCTATATTTTACTCGGAAGCTGTAAATCTAGGCGGAAAATGAGTCGTCGGAACATACTTAAAACTCTTAGTAATCTTAACCTTTCATTTCCTATTTCCGTGACACATACGGCCAATGTGCGTCACACGTGCGTCATCGGCCAAGCAGTGAATAAAATTTCCTTTTTGCCCAACAGGTTATCACGCGCCTCAAACGCATCTAGTAGCATGCTATTACACGATTACTGAGTCAGCCATTTTGAACAGTGAGGATTGATAACGCCTGCTCACGCCATATCACGGAAGCACGACAATTTTGGAAGTTTATAAGGTAAATGATGGCCTTCTTTATATGTTTTGTATAAGTATTAAATGATACAGTGTATGCGGAAATGCACTTCAAGATTGCGGTTTATACAATATCGAAACTTCTTTGTCAGTTCAAAGCATGCTTTACCTTTGATCCATAAAGTGTGTGGTAGTATAATACTATGGACTTCTTTTACTTGAAAAGTTTTTAAGTCGAGGTCAAATAATGCCACTCAGTTGAACGCAGAAACTTTTATATATATTGTAAAGCAGCTTTTGTATATATAATTATGTCAACAACGGTTAAAACAGTATTTTTTGAATGAATCATGAATGAATGCATATGTGCGCATGAAATAAAGCTATGTACATATTTTATTTAACGGTGGCTCGCGCGAAATTTGAACCAACAAATGACAAGGCTCTCAATGGAACACGAGGCGGTTTTCTTGAGATCATCGTCTCACAACGTCTCTTTAAATATTCAAAATTTTACGATTAGCACGCATTATCAACAAGGTCAGGGGGAATTTGTACGAAAGCCATGCTCAATTTCTTTGTGGCTTTGATATTCTTTGGCTGTGATATATAATGGCAAGAAGATTATGATATTTACAGTAGAGTATACAATACATTACGGAAATAGTGAAACATAGATGCATCACGTGGAGAAAATCCAGCCATCAGAAAGTTTCATCAATGACACTGATGACGCTGAATGATTCGAACTGTAGCTACATATATATTTTAGCCTGTAATAGGGAATGCGGGAAATTTGAGCTTTAATTTCCTTGGAGATTTAGCATAGTCTACAGGCAACGAAAACAATAATCAATATATTTCGGAAGTATACGAAGCAGTACTTGAAAATCGACGTCGCTATACTCGGAACTGCTCTATATCGTCCAAAAAGATAATGTAGTTTTAGAATAAAAGATATCCACCCCCGTTAAATTTTCTATTTGGCAAGTATAGACTACCGCGCTCTTAGAGTCTCTGCTGTCTTTGTATATGCCTTTCATATAGCACAGAAATACAGTTTTACGCTCTACGATTTCTAGGAGGTGTTAAGTTTGTGGCGCACTGTTTCCAACGGTTTCCAATGGTTTCGGAATTCGGATTCTGAGATCACCTCAGACGCGCGCGTGTGGAAAACAGTGCTTCTGATCCATATAATTTAACTCTACCAAGCGCTGCCAGTCTTCTCCAGCTTTATCATCGGTTTTCTGCCGTAATAACACTTGAGAAAACCGATGTTATGGATTGGAGGAAATCAACACTTTACTGCGATGAGTAATATGACACTGCCACGTAAGCTTATTTTCGGACAACTTTTGTGGCCTGCTGGTAGAAATATGCATGTGCGCGAACTAAAAAGGTAAATAAACATAAAAGTGAAGGGCAAATCTGATCATTTTTAGTATGGGAAGTAATTTTAGATGCTGTCAGTATCTAGTTAATGAAAATAATGCCTGGTCGTATCGAAAATGTCAATGCGAGTAAAGAGTGTTTTGTCTGTTTTGCGCGTTCTAAATCGACAAGTATTCAAATGGCAAAGAGAAGTGCTTCAACACATCACAATATCAAATAAGGTTGGAGGAGGATAACTGAACACAAATATCGATTATGGCTTTGTAAATGCAAAAAGTTCAAGAAAGGGCAGAAATTAATTTGGTGTGGACGCAAGTTGAGTCGGATCTGGCAGTAACCTTGAGTTGTGAAAGTGTCTTGTCCAGATTTTTAGCTTGGCTATGTGTGTTCTAGCTATCTACTATATATCCCTTATGCATTACCTATTGAAAATATCAAAAATGAAAAGAGGAAGTATTTAAACAACAATTTGGAGGCTTATGTTGAAAATCGTGGTATCAGTGTGGTTAAACTTCGAAATAGTTTATTATTACTGGAAAACATATAGGGATTTGCACGGAATCGAGGCATCACAGGAATGCATGCCCCACGATCAGAAATTGTGGCCACAAACTAAAAGCCAAGATGAGCAGGCTCGTCGTAATTAACAGAGCATGCGTAGATTGTACCTGCTGCCGTGTACTGAATATTAGAGACCTTACGATCGATTTTAGGACGGCAACGCGACGGCAACGGCTACCAATACTAGATCATTGAAAAGAACTGGAGTAACTACAATAAATGAATAATTTAGACATTGTCCTCGCTCTGTTTACAACGCCAAATCACATATTTTCACGTGTTGATACAACGGCTGCATTCCAAGCCACAACAAGTGCAACTTCAAACTGGGTTTAGCAGAACTCTTCCCAACCATATTGATAAAACCCATGTCTTCAACTTCTAAGACTGTATTAAATTCATACGATTGATAATATACGACGAACTATCGACTACCATTTATTTGAAGGAGTTTGTTTTGGCCGTCGCGGTTGCCGTCCTAAAATCGTAAGGTCTCTATTAATGATAAGGAGGGGCCAAGGGGACATTGGGGGGTATTCAATACCGTAATACCGCAAGCAAATTTTGTCAATAACCGCAGTTTTTGAGTCCAAAATTGCAAATACCGTGTACCGCAAGATTTCCAATATCGTAATACCTCAATTTTTCAAGGGAAATATACCGAAATACCGTAAGAAAATAAGCTAATACCGCCATACCGTAAATCCCAATGCCCCCCCCATGAGGCGAACTCAATGATATTATTTCAAGATATATTCGGCAAAGTTTTTAGTTTACTGGTAGAATTTTTAGATCAAGAAAGGCCTAAAGGTCCCCAAACAATCATCAGTTAAGAACACTTTAAACTAATATTTTGTTGCGAACAGATCAGATCAGAGTATAAAAGCAAAACAAAACGGCGCGCCAAAATTTCTACAACTTCGTAAACGTTACTATAGCTAGTTATAATATTTACTGTTTGTTGTTCCGCCGGGCAGAAATTCAAGTCTTTCGAGGTCTGTTAAATAGCCGATATCAACCTCCTAACGAAATTCTTTGAAGTTTTAGAATTTGTAAATATAAATCCCCATATTTTCCGTTTACCGCGTGGGCTTACCGCAGACTAGACGGGAAGCATTTGCATAAATTAATATATTAAAATAATAAAAGTTGCGCGGCAGACTTCACGTGCGAATAAGAAGTAAAAAAGATCTTGCCGGATTAAAAAGTTTAAAATTTATCTTTTATTTCACCATTTTCATGTTTGCATGGTTGACTATGGTGTTTCTCAGAAAAACTCTTTCATCTTGTAATTGAATCTTAAATGATTAAACAGTAAATTTTTGACGTTTGTGAATAATTGCGTCTGGCATGGAAATGTCCGATCAACTGTGCAGTTGCTCGGACATTGGCTATTAATCGATTGGTTAAAGCTTTTTAATATTTACATTCATTTGACGAGCAATCAATTGCTATCAATTTGATAACTCGTGTTGATCACTTCCCGTATGATCAATCACATCCAGGGCGTCTCTATGGGGGTGTGGGGTGTGACACCCCCTTAAAAACGTCTTGTCGGCAAAATAATAGATTATCGGCAAATTTTTTTCGTAGTCAGCGAAAATATTTGAGTGGCTGGAATTAAAAAGTAATAGTTAAAGAAAAAATTTTGATAAATTTACGAAAACGACCGAAAAATTTCACAAATTACGGTACATTAATTCTAAAGGTGGTGAAAAATGGTATGTCCGGAAAATTTTTTACGCTTCTTCTCCCTCGCCAACAATTCTGGGAAAAGAATTATTAATTAGCGATTGAAATGTTGTCGACAAGTGCTACACTACTGACTACTCCCCCTTGCCTAGCCTCTGGTACCATAAACTTGTGATGTGATTTTGTTGCTTGTTACAGCGAAGCCAAGAAAATATTTTGTCCTCCATTCTCGCTTTTATGCTTTATGAACAACAGGGCATTTTTTAAGAAATTACAACTACTGGGGTTAAGACTCAATGAGAGCCTTCCCCCCACACAATTACGCGTACATAAAGACATGAGAGAGCAGGCAGATGCAGCTCCTTCGACATGGCATGACTTTTTACTAATGAGTAATGATCGAAAGGGCCCAGTTAATCTGAAAATATTGCTCACTACTGGGGCAAGCAAAGGGCCTACTGTGGTAAATGGCCCAGTAGTGATATATAGTTAAAAAATGCCCTGAATTGAACAGTGCTAATCGAATAACATACCCCGTCGAACATACCTTTAATTTAATTGAAAACTGCCTATTTTATTTGCTTGGTCAAAATGTCCGTGCAGAATAAGATTAATCGGCCATTTTAATTAATATTGTTTTTGTTCGCCAAATAGCCGATTAAAGACCGTTATAATCCGCACGGTCAGTGTATATAGATCATGGGTTAAGTTTCAATTTGGCAAAGACTGAAGAGCGTGCTTATTAAGACTGAAAAGCAGTCCGAAAATTAAATATAATTCATTATTTCGGTCAGTGTGCCACTTGGCTGGGGGAAGAGGAATTTTCAGTGGGACGAAGGAAAGTTCTTAAAGTATTTAGTTATCTTGGTTTCGCCTTGCAAATGGTGATGAAATTTGCAGTTACAGAATGCATTTAATTAAAGTGAGATGATTGCCTTACAGTGTCTCTGTGTTCCATAAAGAATTATAAAATGTAGAAAATCTATGACTATGATGATGATGATGATGATGATGATGATGATGCATGTTATTTTAATTAAACATGGAGAACTTATACATGTACTGTATATATATATTAATACGCTCCTTCACTTATAACGCTGACATATTCAAAATTCTCAGCATAATCTCAAAGGCAAAAATATAATCCTTTTATATTAAATCGCGTTCAATATGCTTCAGTAGGAAAAAATTATCACTGATAAAGCATAATTCACAACCGGACATTGTTCGCTAGCCTATGGAAAAAATAAGCAAAACTTCACTAAAACCCAAAACCTGAATTTTTTTGTAAAATTGTAATATAAAAACATATCATGGGTGCTAAAAGTTGCTCTTAATCGCTTTTGTCCGATTTTTACATGCAAAATCATTTTGTCGCCAGCATGACCTCGGATGACACCGGAACATATCATGTCTGCAGCTATAAATAAGATTATTGACATGCTGCGTTTGCGAGATTCTTCAATGCGGAACTTATTTGAATGACGCCGGAAATCACAAGGCCATGTGATCGGCATCACTTGTATAGATTAGAAATATTTGCGAGAACTGAGTTAATACTGAGTCATATAGAACTTGTAACACTCTTCAGAATTTGGACGAGAAGTTTCGTTGTTCGTGTGAAAACGGCGTGGTATATTTTATTTCATGGCGAGGAAAGCGGAAGGTAAACAATTCGTAGTAGCTATCAGTTTCCCAGATATATATATATAGCTATATAGTTATATAGCTGAATGTTAGCCTATATCTAGATACCTTAGAGCTCTTCTCCTTGAATGAAGATTGTTCCACAGCCAAGTAACACTGTCATTATCTAATACAGGATATTTAACAACGTTCTATGTGTATATTCACAGTGTTTCTACATACAACGTTCTGGGTAGATATTCATAATTTTAACACGAAGTATAAATCTTATCTCGATGTTAACAAATAGAGTCCACATTATATAGAGTATACTAAGCTTGTCTTATTTTACAAAGGAGCTCTGTGTGCAAACTTTTCTTGTACAAATTGCTTCCACGTTTATTATATTTCTATTATACATTATTTATTGCATTGTATTTACCTTGGAAAGTAATGCTTGCTAACGCCGTTGCGCGAGATTGTGTTTTCAAAATTAGTTCAATATTAGAATTACGTTGTATATTAATCAGCTAATTATAACTTCATTCATTGGTCTCTGGCTCTGCATTGTTAGCAGTATCTATTGCCGATGTAGTTAGTCTGATTAATTAAAAGGATTAAACAACATCAACACTAAACGTTAGCGTCATTTTGTATACAGTATACTGTCTGAGCCATCGCAAAACGAGACTATAATAAGATTATCATTTTTCAATCCAAAGACTGACCATCTCGGATGAAACTGGACTATAATTTCATTCAAAAATCCAGCAATTGGGGCCATTCTTAATAGTCCAGTTTTAACATTACACGAAGAAAACACAAAACACAGCAATTTATATAATATAAGCACTACAACTAGCTGGGTTTGGTAGAGTTCACTAACCCCAATCAAATGAGGATTCTAAGAGTTGAAGAGAGTTGGCACTGAGTCACCCATTGTTACTGGGGACACTACAGTTGCTCTAGGTTGACAAAATGAAGGTTTGACGAGTGTTCCAACTACTTTTTAACCCCAATAAAATACACGATAGTGTTGGAAAAGCAGTAAGACAGTCATGATCAACCAAGGTCGCGTGACTGCCAATAACTCTCGTGGACTCTCATCCCCGTTTGATCCGGGCTTTAAACTGAAAGCACTCAGTGTTACGACAAGCGAAATTGCCTGATGAATTAATAGGCAATGTAAATAGTTCGGTAAGGGTACAAAAAAGTAATAGCGGAAACCCAAAGAAATTACACAAATCAGCTATAAAATCAGATTTCGTTTGGACTGTCTGCAGCTTTTTTTATATATATTTATAATACTCTAGTTGTATCATGTTACTGCATGTGTTATATATGGGAAGACTATTTTCCCTTTCAAGTTGTCGAGTATTAGGTTCGCATATATTGAATGAGTTTCCGACGTTTCCATAGAAAATGTCGGATTTTATTCCAGTAGGTTTTAGTCAAACTAGAAGACAACAACAACTGGCTATATTTCATGACGCAGCAGTTTAAACGCTGACGATTCACCGGCTAGAATCATTATATTTCGGTGTCATACGAAAGTAAACCAGCAATTTAAATCACAAAATACTTTATCAGCAGAAAATTTCAAGAGATACATACATATATTGGAAAGATATTTGACTAGAAATCGTGTCCGTGACTAGTAAAATAATGCACCCCTGCATCACAGTGGCTCAAAATATTGAATAAAAACTCAAATTTTGAGCAAATGATTTACTCAACTTTTCAGTAGCAAATCTTTTTTCAGTAGTAAATCTTTACTCTTGAGTAAAATTGACCGAGTAGATTTAAAAATAAAAAACCGAGTGAACTTGCAAATAAATTTGAGTACTATAAATTTTACTCAAAAGATTTTGAGTCACTGTGGGTGCATGCATTATTTTATTGAGGATTTTTTGTAGTATATAAGGCCTGGTTTAGACGTTGATTATATTGTGAATTCCTCAAATTTACTGATTTCACTCGATCGACGGCATTTCGAAGCCAATAAATTTCTGTAAATAAAACAATGAAACCCGTTGAATACTTGGATAACGACGTTCTAGCTGATAATAACAAAAAATTGAGCAGCATTAAATTCAATACTGAAAACAGACCTCAACTCTCAAGATATATCCAGTACTTCGAACAGTGTCGTGTTGTAAACTGAAAACGCTAGTAGATAAGCTATGAATGTTCAGACGGTACATATAACCAGAACGTACATGCAGTAAAAAATGCAATTACAACAAGTCTGTAAACGGACCTCAGTAACAAACAGAACAAAAATCTGAGCTACTATAAAAGCTGAAGTTTAATTTAAACTGAAACTTGATACTTAATAGTTATATAATTTCGTCTTTCATGAGTTATTGAAAAAAGGTCGAAATATCACCTTACCCTTGCCTTGGAATTAATTTTGCGCAATTGTCGTTGGTGTGTCGAGTTTAAAAGATAAAACTATTCGGATTTCGGAGATGGAGTATGGTTTTTCTTTCGCATTTCTTTGGGTTTGGCAAGATTCATTTATATTGTTAAATAAATCACTTGAGCATGCAATAACGGTCTTACTGTAGTATAAATTACATGTAGAGTACATTTACAGGGAGACTATATTAGATTATTTCATTTAATTATTTATTAATTATTATATATCAACTAGAAAAATACCAACAGAGAACTTCCCTTCGTCGATTGCTTTAGTTAGTAATCTTATCAACAAAGTCAATTATATATTATTATAGCAAGTTGCCAAGTTCTGTTCATCTATTTTGTCTGAAGCCATACTGCATGATGTTTTGATAATATAACATATGTTGTGTTTACAAGGGTGGGCAGTAGCGAAGTAGTTGTAGTTCGCTACTGTAGCGAACTACAATTTTCAAGTAGCCAGTAGTTTTTGACTACTTTCTTAAAACAGTAGCTGTAGTTATAGCGAACTACATTTTGCCGCCTAAAAGTAGCCAAGTAGTTACTTTTTAAAATTGTTTATAGTAACTTGATAGAATAGCATGATATTGAGACACGGTTTGCCGGTTAAAATCAATACTCAATAATCATTATTATTATTATTACTATTATTACTCAATAGGCAATTTGCAGTCCTGAACACTGTATATAGTGCTTGCAAAAATGTTGCTTTGTTTGTGTTTACTGTTGCTACTCGTAAGTCGATTTGTTATAGTCTATGGGTTACATTACAGACTGAGTTAGTAGATGCTCCAAATATAGTAAAACTAAAAAATATAGCGTAGCGAAATAGCGAAATACGTTCGTTACATTTTTTAAGCAGTAGCTGTAGTCAGTAGGGAACTATACCTTTGGCTTTGTTCAAAAGTAGCAGTATATAGTTGTAGCTGACTACATATACTTGAAGTAGCTGTAGTTTTTGCGAACTACAAGAATTTTGTAGTCAACCCACCCTTGTGTGTTTATCAATACATTTTGTTAATTTCTTAGTTATAAGTTTTTCTAGTAAGTTGAAAAACACGTATAGCCTATAGGACTGATATTGGTCGGTAATTTTCAAATTTGTTTTCTTCATTGCCTTTAAAAATTAGTGTATTAACTATAGTGCAATAGTTTAAATTGTGCGGAATAATTCCAGTTGAAAAAGATAAGTAAATATATGTGTTAATGGCTTTGGCCTTAATAGCAATTTCTTTAGCAGATATTTTAGCAATGTCACTATACTAATACCATTGTATACCCAACTTTTGGACGTCTTCATACTTCTCAGTTCCAATTCAAATTTCATTTTCTGAACCCAACAACGCTTGGCCTAAAACTTTAATTATAAAGCACGTATTTTCAACTATTTGGATTAATCTTATGCCTTATGCGAAATATTTGAAAACCAAGCTTGTTGTCAAATAATATATTTCAATATTTTAGCATAAATACAGGTTTAGCAATGATTTTATTATTATAATTACAACATTTCCCGAGCATAAATCTATCTTCGGAGTTCAGCGGATACGAAATGCACGATATGTTTAATAAAAATGACTATTAATTGTTGTTACGATGATTTTATATGGTACCATCTTTTACTGAATCTGAAGATGGCGCTATGCTCCGAAAGGTTGTAATACTAATAAAATGGATGTTTGCTATATATACACGTACTGTAATGCAATAATCCGGCTTACAGCCAGTTCAGTTATGAAACATTTCAATATCGTTGCATAATTTCGGCCACCATTGTTGACTACGAGGCTTCACTTTCATGCTTGTGTAGTTGTGTTGCAATGAAAACTGACCAAAGCAGTGCTTCCATTTTCAAAATCAAAATTTCTCATTTTTGTCATCAAAATTTCTCTAAATTCCTTAGATTGTATACGTTATTTCCTTGAAAATTCCTTGAAATTTCATTAGGCGGTTTGCAGTGCTTTTGTAGCAATACAAAGGATTTAATCAATTTTAAAGGCACAAAATAGCACAATTAACAAAGATGATGGCTAGCTAAAAACCACAGGCTATTATACTGTTTAAAATTAAATATTTGTTATGAGTTTACAACATATACCTTCCATTGATATAAATAATTAATTATTCACAGCGTTTGGCGCCTAAAGTTACCAAATCCCATCCCTCAAAAACTTTCAGACGTTTTCGGAAACACGAGGAAAAAGTTAAAAACAGATTTTTAATTAAACATAATTGATGATTCACTCAAAATTCAAGAAATAGTGAAACTTTCTTCTGCACTAATGCACTTGGATGAATATTTAAGTTGTTCGGAAAAATTCCTTAGATTTCCTTAGGTTTTTTCTCTTCCTTAGATTTTCCTTTTCGACACTAGAATTTCCTTAGAAAAAGAAATTTCCTTGAAAATGGAAGCACTGGACCAAAGAGGCTTAGCCTGCTTGCAGCCCGAAATTTCGTTCAAAGGAAAACCGGAAATTTGGCTTCAAATTTTCGGGTGGGGGCTGCTGAACAGGCTAAAGAGTTCAGCTGTATAGTTGTTCTGTTTAATCTAATGGACCATTTGCGTAATAGACTAAATTTTCATCTCAACAAAAATTTCATTACAGCTTGAAAGAGCGTCACAAAATTAGTAATATTCCAAAGTTTCGTTACAAAATGTTGTAAAATGCGGAAAATATAGCCTTTCCGCATTTTACAACATTTTGCAACGAAACTTTGGAATATTACTAATTTTGTGATGCTCCTTCAAGCTGTGATGAAATTTTTGTCTAGACTTGTTTAGTTCAAAATTTAGTCTATTACGCAAATGGTCAATTGTTCGTCACTATATGAAGATGCATTGCAATTTCATCACTAAATCCATATATAGTAATAGTATGTCCATACAATTTCCATACTATACAGTATCTATATAGTACAGTATGGAGAATGCGGAATTGAGGCAGCGGTTCTGTGGGTGATTTCTAAACTTTTAACAAGCTAGCTAGCCAAGGATGCTTTTCAAGGGAGGCTTTGGGAATGAACCACTTGGGAACGACTCTTGGGTAGAGGAACCACAATTTCCACCATTTTAAGTGATGTTTCAAAATGTACAGTTGTATCATGTTAAGAGACAAGAAAATACATGCAATCAGTGCTCGTTAGTGAGAAAGCCATATTCTAGATATAAGGAAAATCAGCATTGGCCATTGCTGAATAGAAAATAAATTTGAATAATCGTATTTTATTGTACAATGATGCCAAATCATACTCAATAAGCAAATTAAATATTTTAATATTATCAAAGATTATTTCCGCCTTGATAAAAAGCATAAGATGTGCTCAACTTCTACAAACAGAAAGAAAATTTAACAAAACTCAAAAGGATGCTACCTTCACCTTGAGACACCCTTCCACTATATACACCCCTGAATTAAGGTAATCTGCCATTTTGGGTTGCTTTTATGTGAAGATCATATATAGCAGTTAAAGCATAGGACCCTCATACGTTGATAAAAGGCAACAATATATATATTGAAACATATTAATGAAATTATAAATTCATGCGTTGACTCGCATTAACAGATATGCTCATCTGGGGGGCTTACGCTATTTACATAAATAAAAAATTAGAACACACAATACAACAACAAGTAGTACGTATATGACAAGTAAATAGAAATATAATAAGGACACAAGAACACACACACACACATGCACATCAGTAAGCTGTGAAAAACGACAACATTCCCTCATATAATTCTGAGCACTTTTAATTAAAAAGATATGTATTTCCGTTTCACGTCAATTTACTGGACCCAAAAAGAAGCAAGTTAGTCTTTTGACACTCTGAGTCCAGTGTCTTCTTTACCCCCTTAGTAATTGTGCAGCAGCCGAGAGTATATAAGGTTGGTCGTAGGGCAATGTAATTGGGGACAATGTAAAAATAATGAAGCATTGATTCACAGGGAACTTCACAGGCACAAGATGGTCTTGAAAATTGATCTTGAAAATTTGATAATTAATTCCGTGTGAACAATATATACAGTGAATGATATAGAAATACAGTATTTAAACTGGGTGAAGAATGCCCCCGTCTGAACATTAATGTCAATGTAATTAAGTAGTCTCAACGAACAGGCCGCTTACTTTCTTGAATTCCAAAATAACTAGCTTAATTGAAAAGATCAAGCAATTTCGACCTTTCCCCGGCTGCACCCTTCTTATGTCTACACCTGGAATAGGTTTTTCCAAGGCTAACCCTGAATAGCCATCGGCACAATAATATTATGCAGACAGTAAAAAAAATTGGTATTGTAAGAAGTTAAGGCCACATGACGTCATTCACCCATGCTAACAAGACCGGTCAAATCTGGTTTTTACAAGGCCAACCAACATGAATTCTTTATTGTCACACGCCCAGGAAGTTTTCGTCTTTGTAACAATAAAAACAAAGTGTATATAGTACAGGATGTCGCTCTCGGTGCACGAAACCTGCCGAATTGCCGACGTGTCAGAGTAATTATTCTACTTGAGGTAAAGACGCTTTGATTGGGCTATGACTTTGGTTGTTTAGCAACTTATTTTGGCGTGTAGGCACACCCTTTTTGCTGGATCAAAAAAGCTTTTAATATAACATTTCTTTGTATTGTAGGTCATGCTTATAATGCTTACATAATCATTTCTACTTGTATGGGTGTATAGTCTATGAATTGTTGATTCGACTTATTTATTTGGAAATGAAATTAACAAAATGTTGCTATATATAAATGGACTTATGATTTTATTAGCAATGCAAGATCAATCAATATTCCATGAGGGGAGTAGTGGAATGGGAGGCTCAAGGAGTTATAGCCCCTCTTTTTAAAATTTCCTTTCCGTTTCGGGGGGGGGGGGGGGGGGGGTTTATAAAATTGTTAACAACTTGATAGAATAGCATGATATTGAGACACGGTTTGTTTAAATCCATACTCAATAGTCAATTTGCACTCTTGAACACTGTAGTGCTTACAAAAATGTTGCTTTGTGTTTACTGTTGCTACTCGTAAGTCGATTTGTTATAGGTTACATTTCAGCCTGAGTTAGTAGATGCTCCAAATACAGTAAGACTAAAAAATATAGCAGTAACTGTAGTAAAATTTTTAAGCGAGTAACTGTAGTCAGTAGCGAACTAATTTTGTTCAAAAGTAGCAGCAGTAGTTGTAGCTGACTACATATTTTGGAAGTAGCTGTAGTTATAGCGAACTACAAAAAAATTGTAGTCAACCCACCCTTGACAGTTCAACACGAAACAAAGGCCTTCATTTTGTGGTTTTGAAGTTTGCCGGGCTTCCAGATCATCATGGCATCATATCTTGCATGATAGACAATGATTTCGACTGCAAGCAGGCTATATTAGTTTGTTAATAGTAGCACACTCACTGTTACTGCCACGTAAGCAGCGACTTTGACGAATCATATTACAAATAAGTCAGAGCAGGAAGCCAAACAAAACAATAACTGCGATAAAGACTGAAACCAGACACAGTACTAAAATGCGGTGCCCTGCAAAAAAAATTTCTGGCGTTTCGCCTACAAGTAAACTTATATAAAATAATACGCTAGATGAGGCCCCGAGATTCCCCCTGTTGGTTAATACATGAAGTTGTTTCTAGTGAGGGAAAAGTGAGCGCGCGAGGACCCACCATCGAATTTTTATCGAATTTCTAAAGCTTTTTCATGTGACGTCTAATGTTACGCTTACATTTGTTTTGGACTTTGGCCACTGTCAGTTCTATATTTTTTATAAATTTTTGGTTTCTTAGTGTGATAAATCTGTGTATATAGTCTATATAATGTGGTAAATGCACCTAGCAGATATGACTTGACAGACTTGATATGAAATCTGATCTTAATTTACCTGTATGTCAATGAGACGCACATGTTTAATATCTGTCACCTCTGATTGCCCTTTAACCCTGGTCTTTGCTACTTCAATCTTTGCTACTTCAATATATATTGCTTCTTGTCCTTCTTTTCAGTTCCATTCACAGCTCACTAGTCGCTGCGAGTAATCACTGTGCTTGATATAATTTGTGCTCTTTACTGTGGTTCTATTTGCTTTTAATGCCCGCAGCAATCCCTACCTTTGCAGGTACCCTAGTTTAATATTTAGCACGCTACATTCTCCTGTCGGCCGCCAGTTGGTCCGTACGTTAGGGTCGAAACTGCGTTTTAAAGCCTTCAAAATATAATATTTTGGGCTCAAAATACTATCAAAATGAAGAGAAAAGTGAGACGAATCCACTGGCATACGGCCGAAAACGAGAAAACCCAACAATTCCGAAGTTATCAAGGATCAAACGGACTGCATTTTTAATTAGTTTAGTAATTTTGAGCGATTTGTAAACAATACAATTTCGCTTATTAAAACTGCACATTAAAAGCTTCAAAATATAATATTTTGGGCTCAAACTACTAACAAAATAAAGAGAAAAGTGAGACGAATCCACTGGTGTACGGCCGAAAAAGAGAAAACCAACAATACGAAAGTTATCAAGGTCAAATGTATTGCACTTTTAATTAGTTTAATAATTTTGAGCGATTTGTGAACAATACAATTTCGCTTGTCTTTCAAAGGCCATAAATCGCTAGAATACTGTAGTTTAGTAATACATTTGACATCTGTGAGTATAATTTCTTACACTGAATCGAACGGTGGTATTTTTGTCCTTATTGGGCGCATAAAACCAGAGATAAGACGCAGCAAAAAGTCAATCGTGAGAGTTCGAGTTGTAATTCGAAAGAAAACTTTCCTCGAAAAAAGGAATTCGGAAAACGTGAAGGATTATTTTGAGCGGCTTTTGTCTTTCAAAGGCGACAAATAGCTAGAATAGAAGTCAATTTTGAAATCAATTTTCCATCCGTAAACATAACTTTTCACGCTGATTCGAACAGTGGTATTTTTGTCCTTGTTTGACGCATAAAACCAGAGATAAAGCTGAGCAAACAGTCGATCATCATGAGAGTACACGATTAATAATAATTAATAAATTCCGAGCACGTGCAAGGAATTTTTGGTAGGCGATTAAGGAAACGTATTGATGCGAACAAACTTACAAACAAACAAACGGACAAACTCACAGGCAGAATATAATGCGGTGCCCAAACTTTGGGCGGGGCACCGCAATTACAGTTGGTAATGCCACCGGCAGTCTTATTCAATTATTGATTATTGTGATATAAAATACAAGTGAAACTTCGTTTCGCTACTATAAACTCCGCGGTCCCCGACAAAGGGCCTTCGCTCGAAACCTTTACCGTTTTATTTTTCAGGTAGTTGAATCCCTCGCAATTAATTCACAGCTTTCTAATTCAATTATTGCACAGCATATTAATTTCATTAGACTTTTATTTCGATCGTATATTCAATTTTATTTTTAGTTTGATGACCATTTTATTGTTAGAATTTTAAGTTTTACAGAATTCCTGCTTCGGTTTCTTAAAAGGTTAAAAGGAAGGGGAAGTCTATTGAGTTGGTGATAACTGATACGTGTGTAGGAGGTGCATTGGGATTGGTTAATCATTTGTGAAAGCGAAATATTCCGCATTTTTATTTACTGGAGTATTTTCCGTTTCAGAACTTTCCTATATTCACCCACGCATCACACATTTCGTACATTCACAGACCATTTTGCGTTATAAAGCAATGCACCACCAAATCACCAAATTTAAATCTTTTAGGAAAGAGTTATATCACTACCGTCTACAGCTAAATTTAAAAAGGTTGTCCTTCGCAAACCTTTTATGGTTTCATTCACAAATTAACAATTCATTCACAAATACTTGCAATATTCAACTATTAGTATAGGTAATCATGCGATGGCGAGTATTAATCCCTAATTGTACGACCAACATCGCATGATTACTTGTTTATTATTAGCATATGACAAAATTGGATATTTCTCCGTCAACATCATATTCTCTCGCCAAAGCCCAGTCCTGCCAGATTTTCAACCAAAATTTGGTACTTTTGTTCGTATTTTCATTTAGTTCTTTTGTTAAAGCAAAATTTGGTGCTTTTGTTCGTATTTTCATCTAGTTCCTCAAGCGCAATTTCATTTCACATTTGTGTTCAAAATATACCTTTCCGCCATTTTGTTTGTTTTGGGAAAATCATTAATTGTACTGCAGTACAATTAATGAAATAATTGTACTCCTCTCAACCAATCAGCATCCAGTAATTTTGTCATGCTAATAATAAAGCTTGAAATTTGTACTCCCATTAAGCTTTGCGCGTTTAGAGTTTAAGGTTTAAGGATTAGAGTTTAAAAACTCTAAACCTCAAACCTTAAACTCTAAGCGCGCAAGGCTTAATGGGAGCTTAAATTTCAAGCTTAAGAGTTGAATATTGCATACTTAATAGTTGAATATTGCAACTATTTGTGAATGAATTGTTCTCGTAAGGAGATATTTACCATGTCTCTAAGAAATGGGGGGGGGGGG